TCTTCTCTAAGCATCTAAAGAAACAAAAAAGGCTTCATTCTCTTCAGGATCTTTCTAATATTTTGTTCATTTTCCACTTCCTTTCTCAGTTTGGACAATTGTCAAATCTTCAGAATTAGTGATATTTTAATGTGGGAGTTGGAAAGATTGGTTTCAACTGTATGGGCAGAGAGCTATTGAATAAACTATATATATTTGAATAATTGTATATAATCATAACTAAGTGGAATGAAGAAAAAATGATATAACACTAAGTAGTTCTTAAATTTCTTTTCGGCAATCATATTTGGTTAACTGTAAAAGTAAAGAACTCATCTAGATTCTTTTCCAAAAAGTTTACAAAGTTTCCCTTTCCCTCACCTTCTCAACCTCATCACCAACCTTCTTTATTATGTATACATGTATTTATATATGCAGACATACATTTACATACAAACCTATCAGTATCACTACTTGTTAACGCAAAAAAACATGATTTGTCTGGCAATGAATTTGTATAGATAACTTCAATACAAAAAAACCCATAGGTAGTTGTGAGGTGGTCTGTAGTCTTTTAAGGTTTCCTACTGATTAAAATTAATCCTTATTAATTAATAAGCATATGCTTTGTTGATTAATCTAACAATTAAACATACCATGCTTTATTTCTGTATCTAAATCTTTGGCACATGCTTCACAAATCTTTCAGCAGTAATTATCTAAATTCTATGTAAAAATACACAATGTAACCCATCCATTTCAAATATGTATTTTATTGCTGTTTTTTACACTATTTTCATTAGATGCAGCCATGTCAAAACATACATTCCTGGGAAGAAGAGCATTATAGAAGTAAAGTAAGCTGCTAACTGTATTACAAATTAACTACCCACACTACCTAACATATCAATAGCTTTAGTTTGGTTTAGAGGTCCAGTAATTTTTTCCTAATATTTGCATGTCAAAAAAATCCTTTTGATGATATCATAATGTATATTTTATTTTTTCTAAAAGGAGTTTAATTTCCATAGAGCTATAAAAGAGCAAATATATAAACTATACTATTAAAGATTGGAATAAAATGTTAGTTATTCGTGTTTCTTATTTACTGTTTTAAAGCATCAAAGTATGAGATAAAAAATTAAGGGTAGTGAAACTGTGTGTTATTTATTTTCATTAATATGTTTTATTGACTTCAAATTTAAAATGTAAACTTCATTCAAATGGGTAGTTTAAGTCAAAATGATTCCATACCTTTACTTGTATCTGCACAAAATACTGTGCACACTGTATTTTGCTACCAAATAAATCTCTGTTGTCTTTCTTTGAGACAATTACAATAACTAGAACTTACGTTGATTCTGATATATCATGTAACATAGAGCCCATTTTGTGAATTGCAAATTGATAACAAAATATAATTATGCAAGGAAGGGTTTTCATTTTTATGGCCCAATGAAGTTTGTGATATTGTACATAATTATAAATGCAAAGTATGACTGTAATAATGATTCACACTGTAAAGGTTTCTTTGAGACAAGCTTTGCCAGTGTGGCTCAGTTGGTATTTGAAGTATGGTCATCTGCATCTAAACGAGTAGCTCCAAGACAATCAGATTATGTAGTAGTTACTTTGGTGAGAATATCGCGTAAGTGGAATGGAAACTTCATTTTAAGTCTAATATTAGACCTTGCTTTGGAAAATTCCTTTTAAATGATCACAAGCTGGGAATAGCAAAAGAATTTAACTTTCAACAGACAGCATTCTCAAAGAATTTGCTTATGTTAGGTCCCTGGGAAAGCAGATGTGAAGTTTAGTGAACTGAATTATTTTGACCTGATGCAGTATTTATGTCAATTATTAAGGTCTTCTCCCTGATCTACTGTTTCCAGAATATCTTTAAACATCCATTTGCTTGAATAGGATATTTTGATTGTTCATTCAATAAGCCTAAGATATTTGAACCAAATTCTAATTTATACAAATGTCTTTAAAAAAAAAATGTTTGCATCTTCCATTGAGGTAGTAATCTAACATCCAGAATAGATATTAAAGAGTGAGTGTCTTGAATTCAACTATTTTTTAATTGTGGATAATTGTGCTGTTGTTAGTTAATAAGGAATACTTTTATGTGATTAGTCAAAACATCAGTTAGTTTATAGATAGCCCTCCTTTGCTAGCCACTTCTTCAGTGATCAGTCAAACTTCTAATGATGCTGAAAGTAGAGACAATTGGCCCTCAAAGTTGTGGTCAACACCATGTCCCAGCAGTCCAGTAATCACAATTTGGAAACTTGCAACCAGCGCATGTAATGTAATGCTTAACAATCCATAGTGATTCACGACTGCAGTCAGATCTGCTGCAATTGATGTTCGAGTAAGTTGGCGCAGTCACATAATACCATGCTTAACTACCACACTATTTAGCAATTGAGTGACTAGTCCTAATTCCAGTGAGTAAATGAGGATTAGTAGTATTTTTCTTTGATGTACTGACATAATATTTAGAATTAACTGACCTCCATTATGTTTCTATAAATAAGAATGGTCAAAAACAGCATTTTGTTGGGATATAATAAGCCATATAAATATGACCTAACCCAGAGGTTAATATCTCTTTTTGTATATTTTTTAAAATTAAAACTTTTGAACAAGAAGAAAAAAAACTAACACAGACCAAGATAAAGTAGGGGGAGAAAAATAAAGGGAAAAATGCAAAGAAGAGAAGAAAATAGAAAAGAAAGAAAAAAGGTATGAAGAAGTAGCCTCCAGTATTATTCACAGCAGTTATATGTATAAATATATTGAGCCTGGCTCCAAAATTATCTCATTATTCTTCTTTCTATACTCTATCCTGTGTAATTATCGAAACATTTTTGGTTCTTTTTTTCATTTTTACACAAAAATTCCAGAAGAAGCTTTCAGTCACCAATAAACGTAGATAATGCTTTTTTTAAAAAAATCAAACAAGTCAATTTATCTATTTCAGCAAGATCTATTATCTCCATCAACCACTTCTTCATAATGAGTATTGTCAAATCTTTCCAAATCTATGCCTATGGTAATTTTGCTGAAATAATAATTTATTGAAATGATCTTTCATAGTCCATAATATTCTCTTGAACTACATACCAATACATGAAATTTGACAAATAACATAAATGCATTCTCCGTGGCTTTACTGTGGTCAAAAGGGTGATACAGATACAAATAATCCTTCATTTACAACCATTAATTAGTGGTTCAAAGACTGTCCAAAGAGTTACAACAGCACTGAAAAAAGTGATTTACAGCCAGTCCTTACACTTACAATTGTAACATTCTCACAATCACTTAATCAAAATTTGGGTGTTTGATAACTGTCCTATATTTACAATGGTTACAGCATTCTGAGGTCATTGCGACAATCCCAGCCAATTTCTGCCAAGCAAAGGCAATGGTAAAAATGAGACTCACTTAATTACTTCATGTTTCACTTAACAGCTTCAACAATTCACTTAGCAACCACGGCAAAGAAGGTTGTCATAACAGAAATTCTTGTCCCAATTGTTGTTGTAAGTCAAGAACTATGTCTACTGCAATATTGGACAGATAAATGTATAGCCCCATTCAATCAATGGATTGAAAACGTGATTACATTTACCACCTATGGACAGATGGCCAATACAGGTAGACTTGGTACAGTCAAATATAATGAAACTTGGAACTCATTTATACAAAATACAATTGGTTAAAAATAAGTAATAGGGTTATATAAATATATTAAAAATTAATAAGTACAATCAAATATGCTTGAGAATGTCATATTTAATCTTCAGTCATTTGCTCTTAACAAATTACAATCTTTACCTGTCATTCCGTAAAATACTGTTTTGATTCTCTAAAATCTCAAGTGATCAAATTCAATTGTTTGTAGATGAATGGTATAGCACATAATAATTAGTAAATATTTTCCTGAAGAGAGGGCAATTGATGAAAGCTATTTTAAATTTATTTAAAATTTAAATAATAGGCATACATAATGCATATCAGTTATATAATTATGCATACATAATGTAGTACAAACTAGACTTTGTGCGTACAAGTTTCTTGGAAGATACGTTATTTGTTTGTTTGTTTGTTTGTTTGAATTTATATGACCGCCTATTTGCTGTCAGTGACTCTGCATGGCTGGTAAAAATATTAATCTCTGATGTTTAAAATTTCTATTTTAATATAAAGCTTTGTTTGTGCTTTGTTGTTTGGATATTGCTTTAATTGAATTTATGCTGGTTGGACTTGTTTTGTTTAATATATTTTATATATTTTGGATTTAAAAAAATTAAATTCTGTTGCATTTGATATGGTAATGATGATAATCTTTGTGAAAAAGTTAAAGATATTAGGAATATCATCTGTTTCTTGTTACGGGACTTAATGTTCTACAAGGTGAAAAACCTTAATAGGATTAGATAATTTGTGGACCAACCTCCCCCCCCCCCCAATTTTGTGATTCCCAGAGCACTTCCAGATTATACTCCCAAAATTTAGCAAAACTGCTAATCTGTAGCAGTGTGGTTTTTCCTTTTTGCTGCTTTAAAAATAATATAAATAATACATCCATTTTGCGCCTTAATTCCATATCCAACCTTCTCAAAAATATTGAAAAATTCACTCCCAACTACCTAATACTCAAATAACCCTACTTCCTATGGTATCCAACAAGAAAAAAAATGTCTCTAGTTATGCTTGCCTCTAAAAATGCCTTTTAGGTAGGTTTTTGTTTTTGATTTTTTTTAAGCATCAGTATCCCATAAATTGTATGGGATTTTTTTGGTATATGTTTTACTTACAGTTTTTCTTTAACAACCAACATTTTATTTTGTGGACAGTGTAATGAATAGGTTAACCTATTTTTCATACAGTGATCTCCATAAATTATATGTTGTTGCATTATAAGATTCATATGTGTATCATTTTGGAACTGAGTAGTCAGTCCTTCTGCTCTAAAGTCTAATTTCATGGTCTACTACTTTGTGCAGGTAAATCTCACTTGGCAATTGTGCAGCGGGTGAATAATGAAGGGGAAGGGGATCCTTTTTATGAAGTCTTGGGCATTGTTACCTTGGAAGATGTAATTGAAGAGATCATCAAGTCTGAGATTCTAGATGAAACAGATCTCTACAGTGAGTATTAAGCACCACAGTGTTTGCCCTCAGAATTATATAAAGGCCTTCTTGTAATAAAGTTTTCTGTCTTTTTATTTTTTGAGGGAAATTACATTTTGAGAAGAATTAAATGTGAACTAAAATTGAAAGCCTAGCCCAATTTAAAATGCACGTGACTGCTTCTGTATTGTAACAAAAAGAGACACTCTTATCACTGACAGCTATTTTAGAAGATAAAGGACACTTTTTTCACCATGTGATCAATTTTATTTCCTTTAACTTAGCCCAATGCTTTAAAATGATCTGTTGCTTTTATTCAACTATCATTCTTCTTGTCTTCTATACACTGTATTTAAGAGTGTAAGAATATTGTCAGGAATTAGGCAGCAAAATATTGGATTAGCCTTCAGAAGCACTGTGTATGACTTCTCTGAAAATGTCAGAAAAAGGTTTATTAGTGCATGGTTTGTATTACCTCATGTGCCATCACTGCAGTTTGTTGTGGAAAAGAGGCAGACAGTTGTGAAAAAAACCATGTAGATTGGACTGCAGACGGTTTGGATGATGTACATGTTTTTTTTGTTATGCTGTCATATCTGATCAAGCATATTTTCAGATGCTGAACTGAGTAATAAATGCAAATACTGAGGGTGAATCCTAACAACACAGAGCTTCAGTTGGGAGGGTGTGTTCTTCAATATATAAATTTGGTTTATAATCATTGGAGGCCCAAATGAGTTCTGTGATCTGGAACATTGGTTAGCATACCAGCTATGTGTTTTCCTGGACAGGGGTATCTTCCACTAATGGGTTTTTAATGGGATGCAGGCAGCAGCCAAGTTACTGAAGGAGTATCTACCGTATACACATTCTACTACTATTGAAGTAACTGCAGTGACTGCCTATTAGTTTGTAAAACAAACTTCACAGTATGCAACTTCCTAAATAGTTTGAGAACAGGACACCGAGCAAGTCACCTTTGGAGATGTAACCTTGTGAAGTCAATTAAGGGGATCCTAGTGTTTCTGCAGTGACTACAATTTTCAGAGACCCCTATGCTATCATTTCTTTAGGACACTTTATACATTATTAATCAGTTTGCTTTATGTGATATACCTTAAGCTCCTATTAAACATTCTTTACCTATACCTTTTCTACATGAATGCTGTTCATTAATGTTTGTTTTATCAGATCTATATAGCTGCCCATCTCACACGAGGTGAGTCTGGGCAGCATGCCTCAAAACCACTGGTTTATACATATTATAATACCAACTACATTAATTATTTAATTTGTTAAAATTGTTTTGTTAGAATCAATTATTGAAAGTGATTGCAATAGGGTCAAAATCAGAATGTTATGCACGATGTATCCCTGCTGTCAGGGGATCCCCACGCCCGATGCAAAATGCATGTGTTAAGACTTTCAGGATGGCTATAAGGGTTGAGACTAAATTCATAGCAAATAATATTGCAAAGGGCAGGTGCTATGGCAGAAAAGACTTTTTTTCTAGGTCCCACCAGACAGATTTTTTTAATGGATGGGATCTACAGCATGAGTCTCCTGCCAGGTTTGATGGGATGAGTAGATGTAATCAAGGAGAGGCAGTCCCTCAGATAACATGGCCTCATGTCATGTAAGGCTTTGAAGATCAAAACCAGCACCCTGAATCGTACCAGGAGACAAATTGGTAACCAATGCAAACTCACAGACCAAAGGTGTAATGTGTCTTTTTAGAGACATATATCATTGCCTATGTCATTGCAGCTGGAGCTTCTGGATGCTCTTCAAAGGCAGCAGCATTGTAGTAATCCTTTTGGAAGATGACCATAGACTGAATAATTGTGAGCAGAACCTCATGATCCAAAAACAGGGGCAACTGGTGCATAATACCCCGTGGAGATTCGTACCCTCACCACCGTCCAGACCTTCCGCACAGCCCTTAAGATCTGGCTATCCCGTCAGGCCTGGGGATAAGCCCCTAATTTCGCCCCACCCGAATGCTGAATGAATGTTGTGTTTTATTGTTTTATTTTATTATATTTCACATTTTTTGTGTGTTTTG